CTGGGAGTTGAAGTCCATGAGTCATGAAGGGGCCATAGTTCCCCCACGCTGGCTGAGGAATTCTGGGAGTTGAAGTCCAGGAGTCATGAAGGGGCCACAGTTCCCCATGCTGGCTGAGGAATTCTGGGAGTTGAAGTCCACGAGTCATGAAGGGGCCATAGTTCCCCCACGCTGGCTCAGGAATTCTGGGAGTTGAAGTCCACGAGTCATGAAGGGGCCATAGTTCCCCCACGCTGGCTCAGGAATTCTGGGAGTTGAAGTCCATGAGTCATGAAGGGGCCCTAGTTCCCCCACGCTGGCTGAAGAATTCTGGGAGTTGGAGTCCACGAGTCATAAAAGGGCCAAGTTTGAAGACCCCTGTTCTAGTGCATAGTTTTTAAGAAGAGATGGGACAGCCATTTGTCTCCAATGATATAGTGTTTCCTGCTTGAGCAGGGGGCTGGATTGGAAGACCTCCAAGGTCCCTTCCAAACTCTGTTATTCTGACAGTTGGGTCATGAAACATCAAGAGAGCAGCAAGGATCATGAAGGGCATCTTACCTGCTCAACCAACGGGGGAGAAGTCTCTCTCAATAGCAAGGTTGGAAAGCTGGAATGACCTTCACGCTTTCAAGCTTTGTCCTTACAAAGCTCAGCTCGACCAGCAGTTAAAACGAGCAAGGCTTGAAGACCCCTTACTCCAGAAATAATCTCCCATCCAAAGAGACCACTGGTCTCTCCTGGTTCAAACCCAGGATTCTGGAGTCCACAAGGCCACATAGATGGGCCAGGTTCTACCATCCAGGACAGTTGGTGATGTCACAGTGACCCCACCTGTTGACTCAACAAAAGGCCGAGCAACTGAAATGTAAAGAAGGGTCTTTTTATCCCTTATGGTGGACGTGTGACGAAGCAAAGAAATAGTGGATAGGAGCCAGCCGTGTGCTGCAGCTGCCGAAAGAGCCAACACAGTGCTGGGCTGCATTAACAGAGGGAGAGAATCAAGATTACGTGAACCTCTTTTTTTTCCCCCTGTGCTGTCGTAAATTTGAATCCTCGCCAAACGAACGGTTGTACGTTGAGGACTATCTGTACCAAGGGAAAAAGACCACCAGCTGACCAGCTCAGACTGGTGAGATACAGGAGGATCTGGACAGACTTGAACACTGGGCGCTATCTAACAAAATGAAATTCAAGGGTGAAAAAAGTAAGGTTCTACATTTAGGCAAGAAAAACCAAATGTATGGGTATAATATAGGGGGTACCTGAGACTCAATAGTAGTAACTGTGAGAGGGACCTCGGAGTCCTAGTGGACAATCCCTTAAATAGGAGCCAGCTGTGTGCTGCAGCTGCCAAAAAAGCCAACACAGTGCAAGGCTGCATTAACAGAGGGAGAGAATCAAGATCAGGTGAAGTATTAATACCACTTTACAAGGCCTTGGTAAGGCCACACTTGGAATACTGCATCCAGTTTTGGTCACCACGCTGTAAAAAAGATGTGGAGACTCTAGAAAGAGTGCAGAGAAGAGCAACAAAGAGGATCAGGGGACTGGAGGCTAAAGCATACAAGGAACGGTTGCTGGAATTGGGTTATGTCTCATTTAATGACGAAAAGGACGAGGGGGGGATATGATAGCAGTCTTCCAGTATCTCAGGGGCTGCCCCAAAGAAGAGGGAGTCAAGCCATTCTCCAAAGCACCTGAAGGCAGGACAAGAAGCAACGGATGGAAACTAATCAAGGAGAGAAGCAATCTAGAACAGTGGTGGCGAACCTATGGCACGGGTGCCAGAGGCGGCACTCGGAGCCTTCTCTGTGGGCACATGCACTGTCTCCCCAGCCCCGCCTCCTCCCACGGCCCCCCTCCTCCCCAGCAGCCCCCCCCGGAGGAGAGTCACCCCTGGGCGCAGCCCATGCGAAGCAGCCCAGCCAAGGACATGGTAGGCGGGCAGCGGGGACAAGACTCTGCCCTTGCGCTCCGTCCTGCGCAGATGATGCTGGGGGGCACGGGCGGAGGGCGTGACCGCCATGGCGCTGCTGGGCTGCCTGGGTGATCTGTGGCGGGCCGTGGAAGTGGTGGGTGGCCCAGTGGGCAGGGCGGAGCAGGAACGGGGATGGGTGGTGGTGGTTTTGGGGCACTCGGTCTCTAAAAGGTTCACCATCACTGGTATAGGTTTTCCTGCCTGAGCAGGGGGTTGGAC